ACCTCCCCACCCGTCCCGGGCTTGCTGGTTGCAGAGGCTTCTTTATCTGAGAGAGCTTTTCTTTTCTGGCGGCCACACCCCCAGCCGTATCCCTTTGCTTCTGAACTTCAGTGTGTGCATCTTTTCTGTTCTTCTGGTCCTAATGAACAAGAAGAATGGAGGAATTGTTTTCGACCCTCCACTTACTCTCTTGCTGCCAATCTGGAGGAACTGCATACAACAGGCCCCACAGTCTATTTTGTCTAGCCTCAACCTAACCCACACCTGGCTTTCTTGGCTGCCAGTGCTATGGAAGGTCTGTCCCTCTCTTCCTCATCTGAAAACCCAGCAAGACTGGACTCAGGTACTTTGACCAGCTCAGTGCTGTCAGATGGCGTACCTGGTCAAGGTAACAGAGGCAGACCTCTGGTTGATACCTAGAATCAGTGGGGAGAATGTGTCTACCATCCACCCCATATCTCTTTCCACCTCAGTCATATTTCCTTTGAGAAGCAAAGCAAGTTTATGGTCATCCTTTTATTTTTTCAGTGCCAGGGACTAAACCTGTGCTAAGCCAGCACTCTATCGCTGAACTATGTTCCCATGCATTTTATTTGTATGTTTTGTTTTGTTGAGACAGGGTCTTATTAAATTGCCCAGGGTGGCTTTGAAGCCTTTGCTAGCCTTTGGCCTCGGCTTCCTGAGCTATTGGGATTAGATGCGTGTCACTGTAGCTGGTTCCTGACAACTTTCTTTGTACTTGTAGGAGTTGGAAGTAGCTGGTGGATTCTTGTTTCCTTGCCTCTGCTTGGACTGGGGCCCTAGGTGAGGGGGCCGCTTTTGTAGTAAGTGATGTAGAGCTAATCTAGGTTGTTACTGCTCTAATCTCTAGGGTTCTACATCTGTCCTGTTCTGATCTGAGGTTGCTTGGGAGAACTCCAGGATCCCAGATGGTGATCTACCCTCCTGAGTGTTGGGGTAGGACCTGTGGGGGAAGTATTTCCTATAGCTGCTGATCCCAGCACCAGAATTTACTCCTTGCTTTGGGGGCCATCAGGATCTACTCCTCCTTTCTCACCCCCTTTTTATGCTCTGATGGAAGATCTCTTCTTTTCCTAGGCCTGGAATGAGACTCCAGCAAGCTAAGCCAGGGAAGGGGGCTCCCAGGAGCATTCAGGGAGCTCCTTGTCTCCCATCCCATGAATGAGCTGAAGTTGGACCCAGCTTGATGAGAGGCTGCATGATACTGGCTCTGGGCCACCAAAAGAGTCATAGGTCTGCTTCTGACCAGAGACTCTGGTGACCAGGCCATAGGAGCCATAGGCACTGAGACTAAGCTGTGGGCTCTGCTGCCAGACCCCACTTCACCTCCATTGTTCCCAGGTGATACCTGGAGCAAAGAGGTTTCCCTTTTGTTTCTAGAGGCTGAAAGAAGTCTCTAGAACTTGTGATTGTGAGAAAGCCTTTGAATCAGTGTCAGAACATACTTGGGCTGGTCACAAACCTTCAAGGGCAGGAGAAGGAAGGAAGCTTCTTAGTACCTCTGAAAACTGCCAGGGACACTTCCTGTGGCAGCTTTCTGCCATGTCCCTGTGGTGGGTCAGGACAGATTTGGAGACTTGGGCTCTTGTTTGGTCTTCTCTCCATAGAACCTGGATACAGATGACATGGACATGTGCCTGGTCAGGACCCATTGCTGGCCACCACCTTGGCCTGGCCTCAGCCCTTTTGTCTTTTGCTAACCTCCCCTTACCTATTGTTAGGGATTGAACCAAAGATTTTGCACAGGCTAGGCAAGGGCTCTACTATTAAGCTACACCCCCAGCCCTTTTTAAATTTTATTTACTTGAGACAGGATGTTTTTAAGTTGCCCAGGCTGGCCTCCAACTTTGAACTCTCTTTCAGCCTCCCGAACAGCTGGGATTACAGGAATGCACTGCCACACCTAACTCTGCTTAATCTTTGGTAATCCGTGTTGATTGGCTGTCTCTGGTGGGTCAGTTTCCACCTTCTGCTGGCACTATTTGCCTGATCCCAGCAGAACACATGGCTCAGGGTAGACACCAGCCTCAAATATCCTATACTTGGGTTAGAAGAGCCAGGAAGCCATATTGTGCTCAGTGTGTTGTACCTGGTACTGGGCAGTGGTGACAACTCCACAGGCTTCTGTAGTTGGCTGAGTGCACAGTAACTCAAGAATGTGTCGTCTGGCTGCCAGATGCCACCTGTGCTGCCAAGGAAGCTCTGAGTAATGGTAGGAGCAGACGGGTGCCATCTTGACTTGTCACAAGGAGGGAAACTTACTCAAGTGTAAAGCTCTTAAGCAGGTGATTCTTGCCACTATGGCCTGTGTCATGTGAGGTTAAGGGCCACAGCAGGTAACAACAGATGAACACTTTGATGTTCTCTGTGTAGGTGTTAGGTGTGTCTTGGGCAACTGGTCTGGCGAGGTAAGTAGTCACAATTTTGAGGCTTGGGCAGGGACCCATGTGGGTGGTAGGAGGGCTGAAAGGGCAGCAAGGAGCACCCATGTAGGAGTTTTAGTCAGGTCTAGGCTGGGCTGAAGGATAGGCAGCCTGTGCTGCCACCTTACTCTGAACACAGCCCTATAGCCTGAGGGTAGTGTGACCTGTGGGTACTTCTAACTCTAGGGAAGACTCAGCATTGGTGGTATCCAGAATGTTGGAGCCACAGACTAACTCCTGACCTTCCTCCCATTTCTGCTGGCACAGCTCTTCACAGGAGGTCACGTCTGGTTCTCCATAAGATAGATTAGCCCAGGGCTGGGATTTAGCTCAGTGGTGCCATGCCTGCCTCAAAAGCATAAGGTCCTTAGTTTGATCCCTGGTACTGGGGATCGGGGGAAAGAAAGACCAGCTGTGATGTCAGCGAGGCCCAGAGGCTTGATTCTGACACCTGGAGGCACCACCTGTTATTCCCACCATGCACAAGTTCTTGGGCAGGGGGCAGGGGGTGATGTGGCCTAGCCTGCATTTGATGTGACTCCAGCTGCTTCCCTGACCAGGGTCCTGTATGCTTTCCACTTGAGCTATCTGCTCTCCATCCCTGCCCCTTCTTTTCTTGGGCATGAGGCAGTGTTTCTCAAACTGATGCCTTTCTTCTTGCCCATATCTCCAGGCACTTTCAGCACTCTAGGAAGGTTAGTATGTCCCACCTCCATCTCTTTCTAAGGTCTTCTGCCTCTATGCCAGATCTCAGTTCCACAGGACTGGTTTCCATTGGTAAGAGGCTACTCCCTCTGCCAAACCCCCATCTGAGAGTATATGGTGTTCTGGGAGACTAACTCCTTGTGAGCCTCTGGCACCGCTTGTTCACTCTGAGGCAGAAAAGAGTTTTGGAAATAAGTCTGCTTAGGAGTCTAAAACTTAGGACTCAAACAAGGAGGATTTCTGGAATCTGGCTAGGTTGTCCTTTTGTGGTGGTAGCTTGCCGTTTTGAGTTACTTTTAGATCTAAGTATTTATTTCCGAGTAAGAGTCACATTCTGGGCTTTCTGGGTCACACTGATGTCCTGACATCAGGAGGAGAGGTCATCCAGGCTAACCCTGAACTTCAGTTTCAACCTGGATGGAAAGTGCAAGGCCCCACTTCCCTTTAGGGGCTTTATGACCTTGGCTTTATGATCTGAGCTATTTCTGCTCAGATCAATGCTCAACCAAGGAGGTTAAGGAAACTGGGTTGAGCATATGGGGTATGCCAGTGAGCCTGGCCTAACCTTGCCTAAACACTGGACATGGAAGAATGTTTGGGAGGACAGCTGGCTGAGCAGTGCTTTACAGTTAATGCCCAGGAGGAAGCCCCTTGGCTGCATTTTGGAAGTGATAGCTTTTGTTAAAGGCCTGAGGGTCCCTGACCTTCTGAACAGGAGAGAGCTATTCTCATGGGTCTGGGTACCATCTGTCCCGTAGTAGAATGACTGGGTCTCCAGGATTTGAAAGGACCATGTGGTTCAGGCTTGAAAGAGGTGCTAAAAGTCTAGCTGACCACAGGGAACATGTAACCTATTGAAAGTTAAAGGGGTCTACTTCCTAAGACACACTTATGGTCCAACTGCAGGACCCATCCTTAAGCCTGGCCAGTCCATCTGGCTTCCTTAAACCAAGAGAGGGGCCAGTACAGAGGGACCCTCTTTGTATGTGCAGCCTGAGTCACATGTAATCTGCTTGCACCTGGGCTAAAGGAGTGGCTAAGTGCCATTCCGGGGGTGCAGGTGCAAATGGCTGTTTCTGGGCCACTTGTGTGTATTAAGCATGTGCCAAAAGGCCTAGGGCCTTGGCTTTCCTGGGGATGGGACCTCCAAGGGTTCAGCTATGGAGGACATAGGTTTGGTGTTTGTTCTGAGCTTGCTCTGGTAGGGCTGAGCCTTGCTGCCAGATGTATTGTCCCTCCCACATTATCATACTTGTCACCTGTGCACATGAAGAAATTTAGACCATATATGGAATATCATGAACCCAAAGTCATGCTGCTAGCAACCTCTGAGCCTGAAGTCTGAGCTACAAGCCAACATCCATCCTAGGAGGGAATGGGATGTCCTGCCTTGTCATTCTAGATTGTGAGTCCAGTATTTTCCAATTTGGTGGTAGGGCAGCCTGACCTAGGCGTGCAGAGGCTGTTTCTGGAGTTCTTGGGGGACCTGGATCTAGCATATTGAATGGGCACTGTGGTCAGCACTTGTGGAGTTATCTGGCACCCAGCTTCTTACTGGGCAATGGGCACAAGTTGGGGCAGGTGCAGTCTGGCCCAGCCATAGCTGAGGGTACATGTGGCCACCCCTTGGCTAGTCCTGTATGAGAAGTCTGGTCTTGCTGGGGTGGTTGAGGAAAGAAGGCTCTGGAGCACGGTGACTACCATGCTGTAGGCAGTTCGGTTGGGCTGGATGTTGATCTGGAACTTAACCTGAAGAGCATCCCTGAAGAGCTGGTGAAGGGCTGTGTATGTATGTGGCTTATCTTTTTGCTGGGCCAGCTCAGGCTTGGGTGGCTTTCCAGGTGGGTAGACACGTGGTACTAGGAAATAAGTGATGATATGTTTGGCAGCTTGAACGGCCCATGAACTCCTTCCTGAGTTTGGTTCAGCTACTCAAAGCGAGGAGGAGAGGCCCAGTACCCAAGGGTTGGGGCACATATCCCCATCTCTGCTTAGAAGCTCCAGAAGGGCTAGGCTGCACCCAGGAGGAATGTGATTGCCCTCTGCTCGGACTAGTGGACTCTGGAGGTGACTTTGCAGAGCTGGACCCAGAACCTGGACAAGGCCCAGGTAACCTCTCACCAAGAGGTGCCTAGAGCTGTCCACATGGAGCATTTTAGGAATACCAGGTCCTGTGGGTGTCTCACTGCTGGTGTCCTACTGGGCTTCCTCAGTGGCAGTGCCACATAGTGTTGTGTGACTGGCCCTCATTTCTGAGGGGCACCCAGAGGTTTCGTCCCTGGAATATATGGTCATTTACTACTTCACTACGGTGCTGTATTCTTCCCTGCCTTCTAGAAGCGACAGCAGTCCTTGATCCAAGCAGCCCCCAGACAGGTAGGAGTTATGAGAGAGCCTGTGACTTAGGCCTTTGATCTGTGTGTCTCTTACATCCTTTTTTTTTTTTTTTTTTTTTTTTTTTTTTGAGACAAAGTCTGGCTATGTAGTTCAGGCTGGCCTTGAACTCACTATGTAGTCCAGGCTAGGCTCGAACTTGCAGTCATCCTCTCCTGCCTCATCCTGCTGATTGCTGAGATTACAGGCATGCACCACCATGCCCAGTATGTTTCCACATTTTAATCCACCCTTAGTACCCAGTCTACTCTGCGCTGACCCCTGGTGATTGTCAGGGCAGATGGATTTTTCCCTCCCAGGATTAGCCGCATCTACTACTTCAGCCAACCCATGTATCAGTACCTATTGTTGACTGGCCCCTGCCAGGCCATGTTCATTCAGGCCCAGCCAAGGCAGGTCATTTAATTTTTAACCTAACTTAGTACTTGAGATTTGAATGCAGATAATACGTGGCATTCATGCTGGATGAAGGATTCAGTGGAAGGTCTCTATTGCTATCAGTCCTTAGTATGTAGGTTACAGCACTCAGAGCTCCAGACTTGGCCCATGGAGACTGAGAAAGCCTGCTGAAATAATAGGATGGCAACTGGAGTTTACCAAGGATGGCACGTGTGCAGCTTTGGCCCCAACACAGCCAGGCTTAGGAGTGGCCTTAGGAGGATTTCCCTCTCCTATCCATACTGCAGAGAGGCTGTAACATGGTGAGCCTAGCATCTAGGCCTCCGTTTTATACTATGAGCCCCTCGAGAGCCAGGCCTACAGCCCACCCTGTGTCTCTTGATGGGACCAAGTGGTGCTTAGATAATGTATGCTGACACCCAGGATGAGAATGATCCTGGAAGCCCACCATCCATGTGAGGAAGGGACCCCCCCACCAAGACCTGACTACTGCTAACCCACCTAGATCTGCCCAGCTGAGTACCATGTCCCACTTGCAGTCCAATTCCCACCTGCCTTCATCCTGGGCCAACTTAGCCTTCTGCCTGCCATTAACTCTGTTCCATTAGCTCTGGGAATGGCACTCTCCCAGAGTGGTGGTGGCTGCCCACTCTCCACTGTGCTCACTAGCAGGACTGGGGTTGAAGGGCCAGGGTTGTGTCAGCCAGGACCCTGTCCCCTTCATGAGGAGGCTTTTCAAAGGCTAAGGAGAGAGTGCCTGCCTCAGTGAGGGGAAGCAGCATCCCTTCCCCCATGGATAGCTGCTGGCTGAGTGCCCTGCTATGGCAGGCCAAGAGCCAGGTATTCTCGTAGAGCAGGCAAAAGCTAGTTTCCAGTCCCTGGTATAGTCAAATTAGTCACTTCCGGGCCGGGGATTTAGCTCAGTGGTTCCACTGCCTGCCTTGCAAGCGCAAGAACCCGAGTTCGATCCCTGGTACCAAAAAAAAAAAAATTAGTCACTACCAGTTTGTCCTGCATCAGGGTAGAACTGAGACCCCAAAGATTTGATGAGGCCCCACTCCACAAAGCCTAAGCTGTCAGTGTCCTGCTCTGTCTCCTTGAACAGCTCTCAAATTTTGCTAGACACCAGCACAACTTGGAGACTACCATGTGCTCCTCTCCTCACCAGCTGGAGTCCCTTGAGACAGCTGGCCTGGCCTGGCTGGAGTTAGTGCACACAGGTGGGCACGTGTGTGTGCACCCATCCTACAGGTCTGTGAGCTTCATTTCCCTTTCCTTCTTCGCAGTGTACTAATGGTCACTTGATGTGCGCTGGCTGTTTTATCCACCTACTAGCAGATGCCCGGCTGAAGGAGGAGCAGGCCACGTGCCCCAACTGTCGTTGTGAGATCAGTAAGAGCCTCTGCTGCCGGAACCTGGCCGTGGAGAAAGCCGTGAGCGAGCTGCCCTCAGAGTGTGGCTTTTGCCTACGCCAGTTTCCCCGCTCCCTACTGGAGAGGCACCAGAAAGAGGAATGCCAGGACAGGTGACTGCTGGGGCTGGGGGCATGATCACACAGGTGGAGACCCTGATGCAAGCATAGCCCCATACAGGATGATTTGGCTGGTACAGCCTATTAACAATCCTGTAGGCCTCAGGAGTGGGGGAAATGTGGGCTCCACAGAGCTTGGCATGGAATCTGTACCTAGTTGGTATTAACATGTTTGACACTGGCTTGCAAAGTTCTCTGTGGGTAGCCCTTGAAGGCCCACAACAGTGTAGCTAGTTTAGGAGCTCTGGGAGCTTGGTGTGAGGCTGCTCTGCAGTCCAGCCTCTGCAGATGAACATGGCCGCCCAGCTGGCAGGGCCCTAGCACCAAACCTCTCCTAGAATGTGAAGTCCAGGACCAGGATCAGGCAGCCACTTAAACTGCCAAGCTGAAGAGGGACACCACAGCAGTGGGTGCAGGAAGTACACTGGCTCAGAGCTTACTCTTGGCTCTTTTTCCTTCTCCTTTCTTTCCTCTCTGTCTGCCTCTTCCCTCTCTTTCACACGCATGCACATGTGCACTCTGAACCAACCCTGGTGGCTGGGCTCAGGGCTAAGTGTGTCTTACAAGGAGAGGTTTGTGGCTGGCAGAAGCTGCCTCTGGAGGACAACTGAACACAGTCACCTGTTCTGGACACAGGTGTGACTGCTGTGCTCACTTCCTCCCAGGGTAACTCAGTGCAAATACAAGCGCATCGGCTGTCCATGGCATGGCCCCTTCCATGAGCTGACAGTGCATGAGGCTGCATGTGCCCATCCAACCAAGACAGGCAACGAGCTGATGGAGATATTAGATGAGATGGACCAGAGCCACCGCAAGGAAATGCAGCTCTACAACAGTATCTTTAGCCTGCTCAGCTTTGAGAAAATCGGCTATACAGGTGAGGCACCCCACCACCTGCTGCATGCTGCACAGGTAGGCTGGAGGGGAGTGCTGGGCAGGCTTTGGGCAGTGGGCACAGGCTGTTCCAGGTGGCCGGGGTCTGGAAAAACTCCAGGTGAACAGGAGGATACCTCAGGGAAGAAGACAGATTGGAGACTAAACAGAGGGAGGGGCTAACAGGGCCCCAATGTGCAGCTCATGGCTCTCACAGCAGCCCTTCCTTCCTGACCTCCCTACCTGGCCCACAACCCCAGCAAAGTGTATGGGGCTCCACAGCCTTGGTATGGTTGGGGTCTAACTGGAAGGTGGGTTGTGTCGTGGGCAAGCCTGGGAGCTCCGACCTGAAACTCCAAGCCCAGAGCAAGAAGAACACTGTCAAGTCAGATCCTGCCTGCAAATGGTCACTAAAGTGGCATGAAGCTGTTCAGTAACAGGGCTGAGGGCGCCCAGCTCAGACTGTAGAACTGGGAGTGAATGACCACAGATGGGCAGACTGGACTGGGCCTAGGCCCACTGGATATCCTCGCTCCCAGGCCACTGCTGATGCCTTTGAACTTGTTGGGGAGCAGGAGCCAGGCCAGAACCTGGTCCAGAGGACAGCAAGAAGCACCTACTGACACTGTGCCCACTCAGGGAGACTCCATCCCTCTTGTTCAGGCAGCCAGCCCAGAGCACCGAGGGCAGATGTGGCAGCCAGTCATGCTGTGCTGCCTCGCCTGAGCCTGGCTAGATGGGCCCACAAGGCCCAGGAGGCCAAGGGCCTGAGGGCTGCAGCTACAGAAAACCATGGCCCTGGTTAAAACAGCCTTGCCTGATCTGGTGGCCCATGGGGTCTGGGTGGGCTGGGACATGTGGTTCCATCAGTGGACGGGTGGGACACCCTATCCATGCAGGAAGAACTGGCTATCTGCAAGCCTGCGCCTCCACAGAGGGACTTGCCAGCCACAGGCTGTGGGCTTGCAAGAGGACTGCAAAGGCAGATCTGCCTGCTGACTGATGGCCCCACCAATGGCCAGGCAGAGCCCGCATCACATCCCAAGGACCTGGGAGTCTCCTTGGGCAGGACTGGGTACCACTTGCCCACCACCAGCTTTTCTGGCAGCTCTGTATCAGAACCAATAAAGTGCAATTGTTCTCAGAACTGCATCCTGTCTGTGTGTCTGCTTACCCTGCTCCTGCGAGGAGGGTGAGGGTGAGGAGGGTGGCCCTATAGGTTGGCCACACCTGGAACATGGCCTTAATCTCCCACAACCTCTGAACTCTCCAGCTAATTGGTGTTAATTCTGTTTGTAGTTTTTCCACAAAGCTTGTGCGCCTCCGTTTGCCATAATTACGTTTGACTTGCCCTGTGACAAGTAGAGCTTGCTGTGCCTGGGTAAGTTGCCTTCCTCCTGGGCTGAGCCTCTCCTTGGCCTGGTCGGGGAAGGCGCTGCCACCCAGCCCTACCCAACACTAACAGCTGGCTGTTTCTGGCCCTATCTGTCTCCACAGAAGTCCAGTTTCGGCCATATCGCACAGATGACTTCATCACACGCCTGTACTATGAGACACCACGGTTCACAGTGCTGAACCAGACATGGGTCCTGAAGGCTCGTGTGAATGACTCAGAGCGGAACCCCAACCTGTCATGCAAGCGCACACTTTCCTTCCAGCTCCTCCTCAAGAGCAAAGTCACAGCGCCTCTGGAATGCTCCTTTCTGCTGCTCAAGGGCCCATATGATGACGTGAGGATCAGTCCTGTTATCTACCACTTTGTCTTCACCAATGAAAGCAATGAAACAGACTATGTGCCCCTGCCCATCATCGACTCTGTGGAGTGCAACAAGCTGCTGGCCGCCAAGAACATCAACCTGCGGCTCTTTCTATTCCAGATACAGAAGTAGGATGGGTCCAAGACTCCTGAGGAACAGAGGGCTATGGCCTGGCACCACTCTCCTGTTCACCCCTGGCTTGGCAGTGGCTTCACACAACTATCTGATCATTTTAGCAGAGGAGAATGTGCAAAATCAAACACTGGGAATGTCTGCGTGTGTGATGCAGTCCCCATCTCCAGCTGTCTCCTTTACCCCTGCCACCCCCTCCCAGGGCAGCTGGAGGCTGGGCTGACTTCAGAGGAGACCGTGCCCTGGACTCAGGATCAGGGTTAGCAGCAAGGAGGGTGAGAAGCTTGCAGCCCCTACCCAATCCCATCCTCACAGCTTGGTTGCACTTCATGTCCTGGTTCCTGGCTGGGCTCAGGGGCCCTTGTTGACTTCAGATGGCATATTTGATTGTGATTAAAAAGGCAGCCTTGTTTCCTACGTGCTGTTTTGTTGGAGGGGAAGGCACGCCTGTGAATGGACGCCGCAGGAGCTTTGGTTTGGCCTGGGAGTCAGAGCCCACCCTGTCTCTGTTACTGCACCATGCATGCCCCCCACCAGGAGAAACTTGGAGACACTGCCTCCCCTACAGTCTGTCACAAGGTTCTTGGGACAGGCCTGGGCAGAGAGAGCCAGGAGGAGTTGAGGCTCCCCCAGCCACCCAACTGCGCTCCCAGGGAGGTAGGACTGTGACCAGGGCTCAGCAAATGTTTTCGGAATGCAGGGTGAAATTCTTTCTCTTCCCAGGAAAAAAATTAAACTTTACAGGCTCTTCTATAAGTGATAATAGTTTTAGTGAGAGAGAGAATCCATTCACTACTCAGCCTGAGGGCACAGTATCCTAAGGATATAAAGGAGCAGGCATAGGCTATGCCGGCTTGGTAGGGCAAGGTTTGCTGTCAGAGACTGACTGCTAGCCACAGTGTGGTTTCCTGACTGACAGAGGTGGGTTCACCCCAGCATTGACTCAAAGTCGTCTGATGTTCTGAGGGGTGGCTCTGACCAGGACCAGTATCTGGGGCTCAGAGGGTGGGAAGCAGCCCTGTATGGAGGAGCTGGGCTCTGGTCTGTTCTTCCCTGGAACTCTCAGAGGTACTAGGAAGTATAGAACTTCATTAGGAGATGGGGCTCGTCTGATAGTTTTCTGTTGCTTTAATACCAAAGAGCTGGTTTCCTCTGTCCTGACAAAGCCTACCACATGCCTCGGAGCAGCCACCTGGCCCCTGTGGGCTGCCTTGGCTCTCACTACTCTGCCCTGAGATCCTGAGGGGCAGGTAATCCTGGCTGAGTACAGAGCTAAGGCCACTGACCCCCACCACCACCCTAGGGCTCCTCCCTGACCTTGAAGGTCAGGGGGCTGAGAAATGGTGGGAAGGGACTATAGGATAGGGTGCGAGCTTCAGCCAGGATAGGGTGCGAGCTTCAGCCATATACCTGAGTATGGCTGTTGTGGGCTAGTGTGTCTCCCTAAGTAAGTTCTGCCCTCCTCACAGGCAAAAGCCTCTCAAAGCTATTTCTGAGAATCTTGTTTGGGTTCCTGTTCTCAGCTCAGGGTATGGGCCTGCTGGGAATGTTCCTTGGGGAGCCTTCTCTTTTGTAAAGCTGATGGACCAGGGGATGGTTGGGAAGGCCATGGTTGCTCTTTGCAAAGTCCCAGCCTAGGCCCCAGTAATTCATGGGTCCTGTGGCCTCTCAAGTTCAGCCAGGTAACACCCCATGTGTGCCTGGCAGTACACAGAGGCCCTCTGCGGAGTCCCATCAATTCCAAGGCATGGCTGGCTTGGCTTATCCACCTGTATTTGGGTGTGAATGACTGAGGAGAGGGCAGCCCTGTGAACTCCTAGTACAGGTCAGGGTGAAAGGCTTGTTCCTCATAGGCATAGCTGAGATTGGGGGCGGGCAACTGGGCTAGCAAGGGCTGCAGGAACTAGGAGGCCACGAAGGGGACAGAGGCCTAGCTGGCAGTCCTGCAGCCTCAGTACCCAAATGCCAGCCCAGTGTGTAGGGCTGGGGATAGAAGGAGCCTTCCCAAGACATGGCTGAGGATGAGGCACTCCTAGAGGTGTGTGTCTTGAGGGTTAGGCATCCCAATGCCGTCCCCAGCATGGCCCTGCCCTGTGACTGTCCCAGTAGCTGAGTCAGCCTTAGGGAAACCAGGTGACTGAGAAGACTCGTGTTCCCCAGCTATGCTGGTGCCACAAACCTTGTGGCATTGTCACTGTGGGCCCTTTATTGCTGGGAGTGCTACATCTACTGGTTTGTCTACAGAATCTTCTGTCACCTTGCTGTCCTGACTGGTTCTTTATCTGTTATCTCTGCAGATGGGAGGCCCAGCCTTAGCAGATGAAGGGGAGGCCTGGGGGTTGCAGGCTAAGCAATGCCTTCCCCTCCTCCCCCACAGGTCTTACCCCTACTCCCTGTGAGCACCATATTCCTGTTTGCCCAAAGTGAGACATTTACAAAAATAAAAATAATTTTTTAAAAAGCAGAGCAAGAAGTGTTTTTATGGCTATTGGAAATGACTGTCATGTCACTTTTGTGGTCTGCGTTTTCTCTGGATATTTTCTGTATGTAACTGTAGTTTAAAAAAAAAAAAATTCCAAACCATGTATTGTCTGTGTTTCCTTACCAGAAGACAGCTTTGTGGGTGGGTCCCCTGGGCTCTGCCAGCCTCCCAATTGCCTATTGCCTGTAGCTACCTCTCTCTCCAGACCTCCAGCCTGTAGCACCTCCTAGCTTGGCCAGTAGGGAAACAGGCATAGACAAATCATATAGTCTCTGAAGGAGAACTGGTCTCCTTGGAGCTACATTGTCCTGTGACCCCTGGACCAGAAGAGAAGGCAGTTTGTGGTCTGCCCAGCAACCTCGGGCAGGGTGTGGGAGCTCCTTTGTCTTCTGACCCACCTTATTCCCACCCCACTTGAGGCAGCCCCTGCTTGCATGCCTTCTCCTCTATCCCTGTGCCCCTCATCTCACTTGTCCTCTGCGAAGGTGGCACACGCCTGTAATCCCAGAACTTGGGAGGCTGAGGGTGGAGGATCGTGAGTTTGAGACCACCCTGGGCTACACAGCGAGTTCCAGGTCAGTCTCAACTACAATAGTGAGACCCTGTCTCAAAACAAAAATAAAAACAGCCACACTTTGGATAGGGAAAGAATTGGTGGTACAGGCCTGCAAGTCTCAGCCCCAACACTCCCAGGTGCAGCTGGGGGCCTGTCAGAGAACCTCAACCTTCAAAAGAAAGGCTATGTGCATTTGATTTCCCTTCTCCCCCAGTGCAGCTATTCAGGCTTAGCTCACTGTATTCAGCCCATACCAGGAAGCCATCGCTTGGCTACATTAACCTGGCTCTGGAACCCTTTATACGGCCCTCCACATCTTTCTTCTGATTAGGCCTCACTGTCCATTCAATGCCTGGGATTTTTGCCCTACCAGGTCTGCTTTGATCACAGTAGAAAAAAATCAACCCTTGGCCAGGGATTTAGCTTAGTGGTTCCACCATCTGCCTCGCAAGCCCAAGGACAGGGGTTCGATCCCAAGTACCAAAAAACAAACGTTTCCCTGGTAACAAAAAAATAAATAAAAAAAGACCCTCAGTTGGGGTTTAGCCCAGTGGTGCTGCCTCCTGCCTTGCAAGTGCAAGGTCCCGAGTTTGATCCCCAGTACCAAAAAAGAAAAAACAAAACCCTCCATCTTCCATTCTTCTGGTCCTCCATGGAATTTTTCACCCATTCTCTAGGTTCTTCAGTACACAGTGAGTGCCACCAGGTGCCCAGTGCTAGGCTTGAATAGCCAGGAGTGACAGCCCTGTGATATATCACGTTTGGCCTCAAGGTAAGAGGGGTGGGGTACCCCCAGGATTCCAGACATTTGTCAAAACCCTGGTGTAAGTGAGAAATCTAGGTGAAAATACTCCCAAACTAGTCTCTAACTCCCTCTTTACCTGTCAATACAAAGCAGCTTTGCAGTTTTAATGTGCCTTCATTGAATCTTCTAGTAACACATCCAGCACACACAAGGAGGAAATTACTTTGCTTATTTTGGAAAACACATTCCTCCCACCTCCTAACATTCTTGGGCTTTGAACCCCCAAATATGATGGGCTGTGTCCACCACAAGCAGGCAGTTCCCAGTAGCATCCACTCCTCGATTAAGTTCACATGCCCAAATTGCAAGTGTATTTTACTACAAGTCACTTTTTTGTTGTTTTTGAGACTGGGTCTCACTATGTAATTCAGGCTAGGCTTGAACTTGCGATCCTGCTGCCTTGGCCTCCAGTGTGTTGGGCTCAGACGTACGCCACCACGCCTGGCTACAGATCGTTTTTATTTCCTCTTCAGAGTAGTAAGTCTCTTTAAGAAGTTGTAGTTTAAGTACTGTAGGTGATGCGTGGTTTAATCTGAAGAGGAAGTGGGAAGAGAGTTACAAAATGCCTGTAACAAAAGGGTCTAGTAGTCTATTAGGGGGGCGCCTGAGCCAGCGGCTGCTGCGGACTTCAACCCACAAGACCCCAGCTCCCGGGGGGGGGGGCAGTCTATTAGGGGGGCGCCTGAGCCAGCGGCTGCTGCGGACTTCAACCCACAAGACCCCAGCCCCCGGGGGGGGGGGCTGCTGCAGTGGAGGCCACCCCCTCCGTGCCCAGGCCTCGCCGCGACGCCGGCCTAGGGTCTCGCATTGTGCAGCACTCTGAAAGTGGGTAACCCTCGTGAGAAAGCGGGACCTCGGCCGGGATTCTTTCCCCGCAGGATTGAGCGGGCGCCGGGATCTGGGCGTGGCCAACTCGGAGGCGGGGTCTGGGCGGGGCCTCGGCGCGGAGCGGGAAGTGTGGATTTCGAAAACAAGGCTGAGGCGCGATTATGATTCTGGAGCGTGAGCTTAGGCGTGAGTCCCTCAGGGCGTAGGTGCCGTGGGTCGGCGTGGGGAGTGGACCCGATTCAGCATACCCCCTTCCTCCCGGCAGAGCTGAGAAAGGCCAAGGCCAGAGCTAAGAGGAGCGGGCAGCCGCGGGAGGAGGCGGCCTTCTGCCACCAGCTTGGGGAACTGCTAGCCGGCCATGGTGAGCGCGCGCAGGCGCCGGGAGCGGTGGGGATTCGACCCTTCCGGGCAGTCCATCCGGTAAGGATGCTATGCTCCTACCCAGGCCGCTACGCAGAGGCCCTGGGGGAACATCGGCAGGAGTTACAACTGCTGGAGGGCGCCCAGGACCCCTTGGGCTGCGCGGTGGCCCACCGAAAGATCGGAGAGAGGCTGGCCGAGATGGAGGACTACTCGGCGGCCCTGCAGGTAAGACACTGCGGCCTCCCCAGAGATAGTAGGAGCCGTTAGAAGACTATTACTTGAGCTCTATATGTGGGAGAGGATAGAGGACCCATTGCTTTAGGGACCATGGGCAACATACTAGCAATTCACCACAGACAGCCCTTGGTGCAGAGAGGAGGTGGCATGTGTGACCAGCTTTGTGGGGCTTTGGGACAACAAGGTTCTCTTCTGGGCAAGAGTAGCTTTCCCTGAGGTCAGGACTTGTGGGTTTGTTTGAGGTGGGGTCAGTTCAGTTGTATTTCCTCTCCACACCAGCACCAGCACCGCCATCTGGAGCTGGCTGGCTCCCTGTCCAACCACACTGAGATGCAGAGGGCCTGGGCCACCATTGGCCGCACCCACCTGGATATCTATGATCACTGCCAGTCGAGGGAGGACTTACTGCAGGCCCAAGCTGCTTTTGAGAAGAGCTTGGCTATCGTGGATGAGAAGCTGGAAGGTGGGTGCCCTTGCCCAAGCCTCTCTGCACTTTTGCCTCTTTGGGACCTCCCTTTCTAAGGTGCCTGGGTGAGGGGCTTCAGGCCTGTGTAGCTGTCTGCTCCAGTCTGGTAGGCATCTGCTCTTTGTGCTCTTCACGCTGTGTGTAGCAGGACCCCTGACTTTCACTGTGAGAGGCAAAAGGAGTGGTGGGGGAGAAGCTGGATACCCCACCTGGAGAGGAAACCACTGAATGTTGGTGGGCATCTTCCAGGAACAATGACCCAGCGAGAGCTGAGTGAGATGAGGACCCGACTCTACCTCAACCTGGGTCTTACCTTTGAGAGCCTACAGCAGATGGCCCTGTGCAATGCCTATTTCAAGAAGAGCATCTTTCTTGCTGAGTGAGATCCCAGCCCCACCCCAGGAGGGAATGGGTAGCCACCACCATCATCCCGAGCAGCCTACTTGGGCTCTTGATTCTCCATCAACAGAGAGGCCCCTCACATCTGCATTATAAGCTAGGGAAGAGCAGACTTTGGTCCCAAGACCATAGCAAGACTGGGATCTGCATGGCATTAGTACCTGTGACTGGCTGGATGTCCCCTCCGCCTCAGTGGCATTTTAAATGCTTTGGTGCTCTCTATCTACTCTTCTAAAGCTAGAGGGTCTTGGGTACTCTCAGCACTTGTTGTCTCCACCCCTTGTAGGCATAACCACCTCTATGAAGACCTGTATCGTGCCCGCTACAACTTGGGTGCCATCCACTGGCGTGCAGGGCAGCACTCTCAGGCCATGCGCTGCCTGGAGGGGGCCCGGGAGTGTGCTCGTGCCATGAAGAAGCGGTTCATGGAGAGCGAGTGCTGTGTGGTGGTCTCACAGGTGCCACTCTCACCCGCTTCAGGTGTATCACCAGGTGGGCATGGGCCTTGGGAAGTGTGCAGGCTTACCTTCCTTTGCTCCTCAGGTCCTCCAAGACCTGGGAGATTTTTTGGCTGCCAAACGAGCTCTGAAGAAGGCCTATAGGCTGGGTTCCCAGAAGCCTGCACAGAGGGCAGCAGTCTGCCAGAGCCTCAAGTATGGTAAGGCTGGACAGATGCCTGAGTGCTGAATAGCCTGAAAGGGTGGGGAGGGCTCTGCTGTCTTGGCAGAGGAGGCCCAACCACAGGTTCTTGGGGAAGCAGCAGCTTCAACAGGGATCTCTTCTAGCAAGAGGGGCCCCTCACTTTTGTCCAAGCCCAACAAGGGGCACTGAAATGTGAGAGGGATACTGGCCTTTACTCATGAGGCAGAATCTTTATTTACAAGTTGGACATAATAGTCATCCCACCATTCTACTGGGATGTGAGAGCAGGTGGTATGCCTGTGGTATGCCCACTAACCGCACTGACAGTCAAGTAGTAGTTAGCAGCGGTTGGCCTGTGCTGCAAGCCAGGCTCCTTTTCAGGCTGTCATGCCTGTTCTGATCCTTAAGGTGCTCCACCCAGATTCTCCTACTTTCCTGATTTTACCGCTGGCAAGGTAGAGGCATGGAGAGGTTAGATGACCTGCCAAAGGGAACTGACTGGCTGTAGTGAAGCAGGGTCAGGCCCTGTGCCATGCTGCCCCTCACACAGGACTCTTTCTACCAGTGTTGGCAGTGGTACACTTGCAGCAACGACTGGAAGAAGTTGAGGGAAGTGACCTTCAGGGTGCCATGGGCATCTGTGAGCAGCTGGGAGACCTGTTCTCCAAAGCAGGTGACTTTCCCAAGGCAGCTGAGGCATATCAGAAGCAGGTGTGTGACCCCTGGCTGGGATGGGAGGAAAAGGCTTGCAAAGTGCTGAATGAATGTGGACCTCATTACACTGATTTCCCAGCTGAAC